CCTGCCTCTCACTCTAATCGTCTTTCTACCCCCACCATTGCCATCAGCAGTCTATTCTAGATGTCGATGGTTTATATACTTAATATTAAGAAAAATTGCGCTAACTGATAACCAGCGTCGATTCCTATTGCCTGTAATACATATTTTATGGTTTTATTAATTATTTCATATATTCTGAAAAAAATATCTGGTTAAAAATGGATGAACCAGAAGATTCTGATTCGTCTAGTTCTATTAGACGATAGATAGATAGATATCGATCTAGTCTAGGAAAATTAAATTATTTTTTTTACTTCTGGGCAGTAAAATTGTCAATTAAGATTATTTTGTGGAGTTGTTTGAAATGGCGTGTTATGTGACATACACTAAAGTTCTGACCGTCCGCGTACTTGGAAAACTTTGCTCCAAAAAACTAGCCAAAAATACGATTTTTTAATAATATTTCTGAAAGTATTTTATCGAAATAAATAAAAGTCTTAATCAAAAAGAAAGTTGGCAAAATTAACAATTTGGTTTTTTATCAATCGTGCGACGATTGATACTCTTTGTAATAGAATTGTTTTATTTTTAGTTATTTCGGAAATTCGCACTTTTTTCGTTAATATCTGGGATTTGACTACTTTCATGTACAAAATACTTCTTGAAGATTGAAGGTTAAATTCCCTACAAAATCGTTTTCTATTTACTAGGTACGGCCAGTAACTTCCGAGATACACGTCCGTGAAAAGTTTACTTGCGTAATTAATCTGAAAAGAATATTTTGTTTTTATTTGCACATTGCATCTGGTAATTATTTTGATGATATAAACAGGTATAAATTTTTATTATAACAACGTTAATAATAGTACAATTATTAATATTTTTTTTAAATAATAACCGTCTAATAATATCAACAAATTATATTTAATATTATTTTATAATTAATAATGTTGAAATTTCTTTATGTATATTTTGAAATTTATTTGTGTAATTCGCTTTCTCTTTTGAAGAGTACAAGGATTATTTCAGGCCTGTTTTGAATTATACCTGAGTTCTGTATGTGCATTCCTATCAAGATCACATTCAGAATTATCGTTCAGATGCACTCAGGTTTGTCGTTTTATCCTTGTTGTTTACTAAATGTTAAACAAAGATAAAATGACACTTGGATGTATCCGGATGATGATTCTGCAGACCCGTGCGTATAGCTCTTATTTTTGTCAAGCACTACTTGTTAGAAAAGAACAACCACTGCCTTTATATTTCAAAGTCGTTTGGCAGGTAGAGGATAACGGTCTATTTTTCGATGGTTTGTGTACTATTTGCTCGTGTCGATACGTTAACTTTTTGGTATAATTTTGACAAAAATATATGGAAGATGGAAAGTGATGAAGAAAAGTGTTTTATTTGGGAAACGATGAAAACAAAAGGGATATCTTCAACCGATACCTATTTTTGCTGCTGCTGCTTTAGAGTCAATATTGAACCTAGTTTCTTGTAATTGCAAAAAGGGATACATTGGATCATGTGGATGTAGAAAAGCCAACTTCAAATGCACAGCAATATGTAGATATTGTAACAATACTGCATTCTAAGCTGACTTCTATGCTGGAACACTTTGTCGATTTTGTCTTGAGTCCTTTTCAATGGAATATGGATACTGAGGATACTACAAGCGAGAAATTTATAAATGCTAGCAATAATATCAGCGCGTTTGTGAGTATGTTGTTGAAGGACCTTTATTTATTGCAAAATATCTTTTGTGTTTAGCTAAAGTTTAACTACGACTTTTTCGACTTTCTTGTCCGAAAATTCTTTTTTCAATCTTTAAACGATCATAATCAATTTAAAAAAATCGATGTATTACAGCCAGAGATACAAGTAAAAAAAATTCTGAGTTAGAAATACCCATAACTTATATATACATAAGAATTTTTTTAAGTTGTGTATACTAAGAGTTAATGTTCACATTTTCATAATTAAGATATCAGAATAAAAAAAGTCATATATTACATTATTTAGCCTCAGGGAATAAAAGTGTAGTAACTAGTTACTGTAACTATCGTTACTTATATATCTCGGGGGCTATTTATTGGTCGAGGTTAAAAAAAAATCATTTTCAAGCTAATTTCATAAGTTTTAAGATAATTTATGTACATTTTTTTACATACGATAAGCCGCAATCAAGTTATTCATTAAACTGTATTACAATGTGAGAAAATTTATTTATATCTCGGCAGCTATTTATCGTACGAAGTTCAATAACAAACTATTTTATAGAGAATTTTAAAACCTTTCGATTTGATAAAATAAGTACTTCTTACGTAGAAGTAGCCGAATCCAAGATACTTACGAAAAAAGTGCAAAATATCATTTCATTCTCGAAATGATCAAAAATACATAAAAAAAAAATTCTATCACGAAAGTATTGATACGACCTTAAAGAAAAAAACGAAATTGTCTGTAATTTTGCCAGCTTTCTTTTTGATGATGACCTTTATTTCTATAAAATCAATACTTTCAGAGATATTGTTAAAAAACCGCATTTTTGGCCAGTTCTTTGAAGCTGGAAAGTTTTCCAAGTACGCAGTTCGGCCAAGACTTCTAGTATGTCACATAATACGCCATTTTAAGCAACTTTCTGCAAAAAAAATCTATCGACAATTTTGCTAAATTTTGCCAGAAAATTTGTTTTTCCTGGGCCAATTAGAATTGCGGTTATCTCAACCAGAATTTAGTAGCTATATTAAACCAGAAAATTCTGATTTGTCCATTTTCAACCAGAATTCCCATTAATCAAACCAAACATTTTTCTCAGTGTGCTAACTAACGTGACAATAATATTATGGATATTTAAAACATTTATGTGCTTTTACATTTACTTGACTAATTTCATGTATAGCAGCTTTTAGTACGCATAAATGTAGTGTAATGCGAGTAACCGAATTCGTTATTAGCAATAGGTATGCGACGCAGTGCGGATTTATATCGATCCTACGTCGTATGTCACGGCGGTGTAAAATTCGCGAAATCACACCCAACGTTCGCATTCGACACACCGACGTGAACGCCATCGTACGGAAACGATCGCGCTCATTTTCCCATGGAACTTGTGTCCGTTGCGGGGGCAAGGGAGAGTGCAGGGGCAGACTTCCGAAAAGGAAGAGAGAGAAACCCGCTGCGACGTTGTCGCGGTCTCCCGAAACCGCCGCGACGTTGCCCCTTTGGGTTCCGTTCCATATCAATAACGAAGGAATGGGTGCAGGCGCAAGATGGGGATTAAAGGGGGAGAGAGAAAAGTCCCTGTACCAATCGGTCGCACCTCGCAATTGTGTCGTTTGAGAACCTACCTAACGGCGCGTTCTGTGCATGCAATGGCGACCCGTCTCGCCGCAAACTTCACGCCACAATCGCTCGCACGTCGGAATCGCGTCTCGCTTCTGCCGATCTACAAGTTCGTCGTTCGTCCATTTTTTATATCGCTTATTTACTACAATAATATAACTTAGAAATTATTATTTTTTTAGTTGCCTTTTAAAATCATACCTCAGAAACTATTGATCGTACGGGGATGCATAAAAATTAATTTTGTAGGGAATTTAGTAACCTTCAATCTTCATAAGAGAGTATTTTGTGATTTAAACGGGAAAAACGAAAACAAAAGGGAAGAACATACCTTTATTTTTTTACGATAAATTAATTCCTACACCAAAATAATTAATATTTAAAATTAACGTTACAGAATTTTAACGATTAAGCACATCCGAATCCATTTTCTAAAAAAAGATTTCGAGTTGTGTTGTAGCAAATATATCATATATACATTACGGCAGAAATAAAAAAAAATGACAGATATATTTTTTTTACGTATACGTTTAATTAATTTCATGGATTAACACCGATTGTGAAAACTATTATTCGATTAAAATCTTCGTCTCTTCCACTCTTTAAAAACTCGTTTTCATGTCACACAGTGTGTATACGTTAACATGCTTTTACAAAATACCGAACATCACGGCGCAGATCGAGGATTGAAATGTCATCATGTCGCAACATTATAAATGATCGTAACCTGTCAGAGAAGAAACAGCCAATCCGCTGACTTCGTGTTCTTATGGCACTCTACACGACGTAAAATGGCATTATCATTGGTCGCTTTTTACGCGAATAGCGTCATTCCCTGACAATTGTGAATAACATCACGTCACTTATCAGATTCAGTGATATAGAATAGGGACATTGTTTGCACCAAGTGGTGTCATATCGTCACGCACATTCTCGATAGGCTAGTCACCATTCACTTAACATTAACAGTTTACAAGAACAAGACTGCTATCTCACACGTCGTTACAAAAACTACCGTCGCTACAATGGAGAATCCGTCGCTTCCTCTTCCGATCTGTACACCATCGCCTGTAATTTGTTTTTTAAAAGAAAGCTTACATTCAAAATACGATTGTGTTTCAACTCGACTTGTCCAAGTAATTCCTATTTATATATCCATTCGAAACGTATTTGTTATTATGTTCCTAATTCTACGTTCACCCATGAAACTTCTCGATCACATTCGCTCGCACCGTTTCGCGCAAATTGCGAGATTTATTCTCGATTTTTTGCATGCGACAAATTCACCTTGCGCACTGTCAACGTCCTCCACTTCGAAAGATATACCGGGAAATATTCGAGATATTTGTTCCGAATGTCTACGCCGTTCGTTTTGGAGCAACTTTGGTGGAACGCTGTACAGAGCATAGCTCAGACTTGAACGGTCGCTCGACCTGTTATGTTCGTCCGTTCCGTCGTGTTCCGTTTTCTTGTACGGTGTCCCCTCCACTCCCTCCACATCTGCTCCCCTTCCCCGGCTTCTTTGCCCCTCCACCATTCGGCCTTTGCATCTCTCTTGCTAATACGCCCTCGCACAGGCCGAAGCACGCGTCGGCACGACGTATTTCACAGGGACGTAACGAGTGGGACCATTATGAGGGTGCATTTTCCAAAAAAATGCCTCGCTGCGAATGTGGTCATAATTTTTAAGTGAAATCGTTAAGCTTTTTCTTCAGGATGATATTCCCACAATACTGTATATCGTTGATTACCTATATATGTGCCATCTCACGATTTCCAAATTTTGGTTAAGTTAAATAAAATTATGTTTGTGTGCGTATTTAAATATTTTTAAATTTTCGTTAATCCAATTTTTCTAACAGATTTATCAAAGTTAAATTTTGTTATCGATTTTTCATGCGTTAAGAAGAATAAAGGACCGTCCACAATGGGAGTAATATGGTGTAGTCGAGTTGTAAGCCGTAAGAAATTGACTAATCACAGTCGAATGTGAGGAGAATAATCGACAATGATTGGCCAATTTCTTACTACACAATATTACTCTCATTATAGATCGTCCATTAAAGAGCACTACTATGTCGCAAAGAAAGAGGTATCCATTGATAGAAGAGTTTAAATCGTTCAGTACGTAGCTTCTTTTCATGGCACGTACTTCTACTTAACATTACAGTTATAGTCTCCTTACGTCATGATATAAATTATAGAATACATTGATTGCTACACGAATTATATACTGAGTGAAAAAAATGATTACAGTTATTATAAAATTTAATTATAAATTATAGTTATTTTTTGTTGTCAATTATATATATATATTTTTGTAAATAACAGTAATAACTGTAAAAATGGAGCATTCAATCATAATTATTTTACCATGTACTTTTTAGTGTATGGCACAAATCTGAATGTAGTATAGTCAACTATATATGTACAGTCGTGGATAAAACGGTTGCAACACCTTTTTTCGATGGATTTCGGAATACAGCCTGTTCACCGAGTGATTGGCCCTACTTAACTTGAATTCAACCATTTATGTTCAACCGCTCTACGAGCAAGGCCGAGTTCCGAAACTCATCGAAAAAAAAGTGCAACCGTTCTGTCTACGACTGTACCAGTAAGGGTCTTCCTCCTCCCTGCAGCCATATTGAATTGTAACTTTAGAAGCAAAACAAATGTACTGCTACCATATATTACCAACTTTAAATTATCAAACATAAGGATATATGCAAATTACTAATGCAAGGAAAAAATGCCCTTGGTTTATTTTATATATTTTTATTATAGGCTTTATCCCTTCCTTGTTTATTATTTCTTACATTGTAATGGAATATGATTGTGGTGCAGACAATACGAGCTTTAGAACCAAAGTGAAAATTATTTTTATCTGTCTATCTTGCATTTCGAATTTGTACCTATGAAGAGATAATTCATCAAATTAAAATCGTTATTTCTCACTCTCACTCACTCATTCATATAACCACATAGCAAACACCTGTTGTATAGTACATTTCGATATTTTCTTTCGGGTGCGCAGATTAAAGCTCACCTATAAAATTTCTAAGAGTGACACAACTCGCACAAGTTTATAAACCTATCGAAAGCTTTGAGGTTTTTTCGTTATTACACATCCTGAAGTATATAAAAGCTCTCTCGAAATTCAGTTAGTAGACAGCTTCAGACATTACAGTCGAGTTTTTCCGGCTAGCTCGTAAAGGGTACTGTTTTCCATAAAATTTCATTTACACGTGGCATAGCGGATAAGAGGCTCTCTCTCTCTCTCTCTCTCTCTCTCTCTCTCTCTCTCTCTCTCTCTCTCCTCTCCTCTCTTCTCTCTCTCTCTCTTCTCTCGCGGGATAAATTAACGCAATGGCAAAAAAGGGAGCGTCATTCGTTAACCCGAACCTGCCTGCTTCACCTCCAGTCCGGAGATACAACAGCGAAGCGCAAAGTAACGCCGCAAGGCGGAACCGCGGATCACACACGGGAAACGTATCTCGGCGGCGGTGAGGAGAGGACGACGGGGGGAGGTCATGGCAGAGAGGAAGGGGGGAAGGGGGCAGAGAGAGGTACAACAGAGCAGAGGCACCCTTCGCACGCTGTAGCGGCACAACTACACTTCGCCACATCGATTTTACCGGCTCGCTCGCACTCACACTCGGTCGACCCGTTCACTGAAGGAATGTCTCATATGCCTTCCTCCTCCCTCCCCC